TGGAAGCGATGATGGCCGGTGGGCAAGATCGAAAATGAATGTCAGCCAGAAGAGGGGGGGGCGGGGCGTGGGTGGAAGACAAACTGCAAAACGATGTCAACCAGAAGAGACGGAGCAACTTTTTTCACCGCAAGTCTGCGAAAGATGGCGATGCGTTGGGAAGCCCCCCCCTTCATCTAGCAACGCCCTCACGCAGAGGCCAGGGCCGATGAAATATTGTCATTATAAATGCTTTACTGGCAGGTCGTCCTGGGTGCGACGTTGTTAAGACTGCAGCCGGGGATTGTGTCACACCTAAAAAAAAAACACGCAGTGGAGCGAGGGAGGGAGGGAACCCGAACCGTGGACCTGCTCGTGCAATTCTGCAGATGCACTTTTCAGCTATGATCAATCTACCGCTCAGCGAAGGCCTCTCCCAAGTTGTCGCCACCATCTCAAGCGTTCGGCGATGCAAACGTCCATCCAGAACCTACACACACTCACACGAGCCAACTTTGTCTCTGAGTCTCCGCGTTTGGGCGTACTCTCTCGGGTGCGTTCCCTCCTTTGGCTGCCAAACCATCGCTGGTCTCGTCCATAGACCGTCATCCCTCCCTTCCAGCGCAGAGTCCTACCTGAGCCCAGACTTTTCTTAACTGTACATACGATCATCATCATCATGGGACCTTCCTTTGCCAGTACCAAAATATGAGAATAGGTTGTACATACGATGCTTGTACATACGATGTCTCTAAGTTGTGTATGCTCCCTTATCCACGTGTCTCCTCTTTCCATCAAGGTAAGAACACATCTATGCATGCTTCTTAGAGTACGCAACAAATAAATACAAAATATTTACAGTGTCGGATTTGCATATGCCATATTTTGCAAAATACAGTTAAGGTGCGGCTAATACCTAGAAAAAAAATTCTGATGCACCAGGTGGAAGGGCCGTTGCGCGAAACGTTGTCTCATATAATTTGTTTTACGGCAGCATTATTGACAAACGTGGTCGGGTTTTCTTTGTTGCCCTTGTGCACCGCTGCCAACACAGTATCACCAGATAATTTGTCTAACACCGACTTAAGAAAAACTTACAACAGCAGCAGGGCACACAAACTCCACCATTCTGCGGGATGTCTCAACAGAAACCACATGCCAATAAGTGGCGCCGACATGAAAAAGTAGTTAAACCAACAGCGCTGCATGCTTAAATGTCATGTTTTTATAATTACACAATATAACCGGAGGGTGATCAAAACAGGAGGCTTATTACAAGGGAATCATTTTAAAAAATGTATAGTTTGCACATACATACGCTTGCATATGCATACACACACACACGCAGGCAATTACATACCTCATTCAAATGTTTTCAGAGTCGCAGTCGAGCGGCAGCTCAAGCATACGCAGCCGCGGCTAAAGCATGAGGCCGGTGCACTGGTACCTGCTGCCCCTTCGGAGCCACCTGCACGCGCAAGCGGCCTTCCTCTCAAACGCGGGAGTCGTCGCACAACCCGTGGCCGGCAGAGCTGCGTTAAGGCGGTCCGACGATTTTTACAGCTGCCCCCGATTTCTTAGATGTTTTTTTTCCCGCCGCCCCCCCTTCTCTCTTTTCTCGGGAGGCGCGGACGACCGCTTACGCACTCTGGCCGACGCGAAACCGCGGCAAAAACAAACCACCACCCCCACGGCCCACACCCACAAAACCCCTAACCGCATGCCGCAGAAATGCATCGCGACGTGACGCAGCAAAGTAAGGCTTCGTTTGAGAAAGTGGGACGTGGTGGGGGGTGTATTGAAAAAAATGGTTGCAGCGGTCAGCGTTTAAGTTTGTCGCGGTGTGACCCATTGCACGTGCAGATTGGCATTTAAAAAAAAAACTATGTACAGAACTTACTCTCTGTCTCCTCAAGTTATAATGTAGATTCTATATAATATAGATTCCCGCACCTCCGAATTAGCCCGGTTGGCTATGTACTGTGCGAAAGAAGTTCATACGTAATTAAGTGAAAAATGTACCTTTTACGCAAGCCTTATTCACATTGTACTTTTTACTGTATTGTTCAACTGTAGCCTACATTTGTTTAATTTAAATGTTTTTAAAATGTCTTTCGCTCTGGTCGTTTGCAATGTAACCCAGGTCGCCCTTGCAAAAGAGGCTTTGTTGAGGCATGTGTCACCTGGGCAAATAAAGGAAATAACAGAAGCATTGCTGGGACCCCAGGGAACACGAAGTTGTCCCACACTGATATGAGGACATTGTGTCCACAGCAATACCAACAGCACCTCCAAGAAATGTAATTATTCACTGTTTAACTTCATTTGAATCTAGATTTGAAGCTTTCGTGACTGCAAGGATTCATATTCTTAGGTTTTTTCGGTAAAGTCACGTAGGTAAAAAATTTTAAATGAATAAAAGTAAAGACGGAAGCTTGTGTTGCCTCCGAAAAGTCGTGATTTTTATTTTATTTTTTATTTTACTTTTATTAATTTTAAATTTTTTACCTGCGTGACTTCACTTAAATCGTGCACACGTGAAAAATGTGCACGTCCCCAAAATCCAAATCATGTGCCCGACCCTGGCAGATCGACAGCCAAGCAGGCTTTTAACCTGGTTAGCACTTGAATGTGGCGATTCTCGTGGCTTGCCAGGTGTTGTTAGGCGCGGTTGTAGGCGTGGGACTGGAATGGGTGGCCGGGAGATGGCGGTGCCGAGCGTCACCCGTGTGTGCGAGGAGCTGGATTCTGTTTTCATCCCACATCAAGCCAAACTCATGTATGGTATTGGCCAAACATCCACAGGTAAGCAGCACGCCCCTAAATAAAAGAATCTTGATACTCAATGAGCCTCTACTGGGTGAATCATTGAAATGTGATGATTATTATAATAAAGCTCACCGACACAGAGCATTGCTCTTTCAATGAAGACGACCTGTGGTCGAACAAAGCGATGGCAGTCAACGCGGCAAAACGAGATCGGGCACAACATGACAAGGATGCTTCTGGGTTTGCGTCACGAGCGTCTGACCTCATGTGGGCCTCGCGTTTTCCTCGCGCACAGCCATCCAAACGCAAACATATGGAGAGATTTGTTCGCAAGTATAAGTCGATTAAGAGAGTCTCCCAAAACATAATGGCATTTGCAGGACCACTGCGGCTTTTTTTTGCTCGAATGAAAAATTTTCCTCAAAACCAAAGCCAAAGAGCTTGGCAACCGCAGGTTGAGTTAACGGCGCTTAAATCCGACCCTTGCACAAATGTCAAGGGATGAGCGGTGGCGAACTGATTTAGCGCACAGCGCTACGAACCTGGTGACTCGAGGTTTTTTTTCCCGGCTACAACGAACGTCAGTGGACACCGACATCTGAACCGAACGCCAACACTCCATCACTTCATTAAGCCGCACTGACCAGCGTGAAGTATGGTCAAAACAAACCCCCATAACCAACGCGTCTTTCTTGGGGAGGCCCTCATTACAAGTGGTTTGATGGTGCCAAACGAAATACAAAGGTAAAAGTGAAACGTCTACTTTGGAGGCAAGCTGCATGTTCGCAATCGCGGGTTAATTGCCGAATGATCGCAGACCCAATGTTGAATTGTCCAAAACACAGCAGCATGCAATTTTTTTTCTACAAAAGAAAAAACACAGTTTCCTTGGCCTGTGTGTGTGTGCCGAGTGGCGCTCGCAAGAGGTGGTGGGGTGGGGGGAGGTTGGGGTTGGACGGCTGAACGAAAAAAAACTTTAGAAAAAAACGCTCTTCTGCCACGCCACAAAGAAAGCCATTCAGTGGGTTCAGGCTGGCGTAATATCCCCCTCCCTTCTGCCCGCACTGCCCTAGTGCGCCAAACCCCTCCCCACACCCAGCACGCCACCCCCCCCCCCGCCGCCCCTCCCATCTACACTCATTGAGCCCCAATTGCATTAAATTAGAATCTTAAATAATATCACTACAGGAGGCATCGGTGGAGTGTACTCATGACCATATGAAGGCGCAGCCCTGTAATTGCTTGCTCGTGCCACTGCTGAGGCCTCCCTTGACTTAAGGGAGCTATAGAGAGTCTCGCTAGAAAGGGTATTTGGCCTACTCGTCCACGCTGGCCACAGGTCGTGGAAAGAGATGGGAGGACCCACACTTTACCTCAACCATACGCGCCTCTGCCGATCGATCGGCTTGTGGTGCGCCCATTTAACAAAAACAACGCCGGGTGAACCGGGGCTACGTTTCCTCCATAAACAGCAAAGCGAAGAACTTGCAAGTGGAGTGAGATTTTTGTTACTTTACGATGTTTGTTTCTCAAAAACAAAAAAGAAAAGGGCCGACAGCGCTCGGTAACAGTTCACAACTTTCACAAACAAAACCGTGCCAAATCGTCTCGCTGCTGCCTCGGCGGCGGATAAGGAAAAATATAATGACCGGTCAAACGTCAGCACGGCACGCTGCACGTAAAGATACATTCCCGAGTGAGACTTTGCATTTCGGCGTTTCGTTCAATGTTTGCCATTATTTTATTTCGTTTCCATTTCTTTTTCCTCTGCCCCCCCCCCCCCACCCTTCTTGAATATGGCCGTACGGAATATAATATTCCTTCTGGCTTTACACGCACCTACCACTTCAGCCAACCTGTTTACTTAAGAAATTGATATTAATAGGTTTTACGCCGCTTTTTTTCCTTTCTTCTCCAGCATTTTAAAATAAATAAAAAATATCAGGAGACCATCGTGGGTCCGAGCGTTCCGTCCGGAACGAAACACACGAGCACGCGAGGCCAGAGCACGACGAATAAAAAGAGGGGAAGAACTATTGACACATATTATTGGTTCTTTCGGTAAAGTTACGTAGAAGGGAAATAATACAATATTAATATTGTTTTATATTATATTGTTTTATATCAATATTATTTTATTATTTCCCTTCTACGTGACTTTACCGAAAGAACCAAGAATATGAATCCCTGCAGTCACGGAAGCTTTAAATCAACTATTAACACGTTGACAAATATCTTATTTTATAACTCACCAGAGATGCGTTAGCTGGATGAGATGGTGAAGAATAGTCGATCTTGGACCGAGACGCTGCGGTTTCAAACGGAGCAGAGTCCGCGCAAGTTCGCTTCTGCAAATGAAGAAAGAAAGAAGTTGTTTTAATGTTGAACAAATTAAAACGTACCTCTCGGCACAAAGCCAAACGTGCACACACACACACACACCTTCACCGTGTTTTTGTACAATTTAAAGCCAACGTCAAGAGAGCTGCATTTTGGCATACATTTTACAGCTGTGATCGAGAAGGATGATTCTATAATAATTCAAGAAACCTGCTGCTCTACACCAATATATATTTCCTGGCGCAATTCTCAAAACGCTATCTTGTCCTTGACCAGGTTAACTCGTGAAAAAAAATGGGCGTTATACATTTCAGCAGCCAGGAGCGGCGGCACGTGCCTGTACAGCCCCAGTGCTTCCGAGGAAAGAGTCAGCGGTTCACGTAGAGATTTGTGAAACGCCTGCACGCGCACACACACCCGCGTTGCGATGTGCCCCAGATGCAGCGCGTGAGAAAATTCATTATTGAACCGATCTGTGCGGAGCTTTGAGTGTTGTCATTCTCTCTCATTTGCTTTGCTTTTTCTGCAGGTGCTCTCCGGTTTTGCTCTCGCATCCCCAATGTAGCGGGACCCTCTTAAAATATAAAAGCCTTGAGACCGAGGCTTTCCCGAGTAAGTCATCATCATGAACATCGTCAGCTATGGTCAATCCACTGCCGCATTTAAGGCTTCCCCCACCAAGCCCGCCATCTCCCCACCTCGGGCACAACTCAAATAATCCACCTTTTTGCCGAATAAATGGAGCAATATTATTATTGTTAGCTACGAGGAGAGACCGTACAAATTCGAAGCGGTAAAAAAAAAACGGGGGAGGTTGAATGGTTACATACTTACAAACCTCGTGCAGTTTATCTACACAATTAGAGCGAGAGACGCATTACGCACGCCGCCAGAAATCTCTCAAAAAAAGCAAACGCCGGGACCAGCGCTCAAAACCACCCAACTGCAAGCAGCTGGCAGGCGCGTCAATAAAACATGACTCAGACTACAATCAGCCCAAAGCGGCACTGTACGGCGCACCACTAAAAAACACCAATCCCGCGCACACCGCAGTTATGACAGGGTGGTGCGTTACATAATTGCAGCCTAATAAGTGCTTTTTCATTGCCATGCTCTTTGAGTTAGCCGAGTGGGAGGCAAAGGGGGGGCGGGTGATCGCCTGCATTTTTATTCTGACCGCCCCGGGCCGCGACCGCCACCACGACCACAGAACAGCGGTCCTCCCCCCCATTACTCCCCCTCCCTGTGGGCCCACGGGCGCTGAACGCTCTCACTTTCCGCTAAATTCCTCGGGCGTCCCACGGAAAAATCTCGGTAGAGAGCGCCGTCTGCGGGCACAGAAGTTATAAAAAATTAACCCGTAAAAACAAAGTTTTTCACTGTAAATCCTTTATATGCGTGGCGGCAAGAGTCCTCTCGTCCTCTGACTTGAGATGGCTGCCACCTATGGGTCAGATGATTGCCTGCCACCATTAAGCAATTGGTAATTAAATAATTAAAAATATATCCCTAAACAGTGTAAAATTTTGGGAAAAAAAATTCACGAAAATTAATTGTCACGCACAACGAGTCTGTGTACAAAATGTCAGCTCGATTGGATCACGGGAAGTGGGTTAAAAAACGACCGAAAGATTTGCACGGTCGTAAGCGCGCAAGCAAGCAAGCGCGCAAGCAAGTGAACTTAATATAAAGGATTTTAAAAAAATAAACTGAGTCGCCCCCCCCTCCTACCTCCACCCCCCCTTCACTGCCTGCATACAACTCCTAGGGCATGGGCTACCCCCGGTTGCTGTGTATCAGCTTCATCATCAATTAATAATCGCATGCCTCGTCGTCGTCGGCGGCAACGATCGATCCTCTGCTTCACGAAGGCAGGACCAGGCTGTCGGAATTGTCTAATAATGCCGCCACCTAGCAACCGCACACGAGCCGATTCCATCCATCTCCGTGTTGGGTGTCCTCGCGGGCGAATTTCCTCCTTTTGGCCGCCACTCCGTCGTTCACTTTCTACCCCCGCCCCCCCCCTCGGTCATTGTCCCCTTCTCGCCATGCTGTGTCTCACCCCAGCCCACTTTACTTTTCTTAACAATCGGTGTGTTGCCTCTCATCCATGCAATCCTCTCGCCGCCCCCCCCCCCCCCCCCTTGAGTTTTATTCCCAGCCATGGCCTAACATCAGTGGCGAGTGATACCAGAATGGGTCCTGCACCACCCATCACCGACCCACACTAAGCAGCGGTGATGTATGGTCATACAACCCGCATGGACCGCCAACCATACATGGGGTGGGGTGGCGGGTTATTGGGAGGTCTTTATCCCAACCGTGGATTGACAAGAGGCCTGAAAACGAATCTACAATTATCTATCATTTTCTTAACATGTAAACAGCCAACTCGTACACTCACCGTTTCTGACGCATGCATCGCCAGCGAAGCAACGGATTTTAATCAACGATTCCATGCATCGTTGCCCGCCCGGTACACACCATGCAGTGAACAATCAATCACAGCAATCCCACAACGAATCACTGTGCCGAGATTTACAACATACGCCGGTTGGGTGCTTTTTCTTCTCTCTCTCGGTCTGTCTGTCCCGCCACCACACTCTAATGCCATAACCGCCACTTACTGCCTTTGTAAAAAAAAAAGGGGCCTGCGTGAATCCCGTGATTTATGAGGTGGGCTGCACGAATTCAATAACGCGACGATTGTACGAGGCAAGAGAGGTCAGGGAGGTCAGGGAGAGGGGCAGCCTCAGTCACCAACGTCCGTTGCCGTTTGACCTGCTGCTGCTACTGCTGCTGCTACTGATTTTTGCTGCTCCTGCTGTTGCCCATACTGCTGCTAGTGTTGCTGCTGCTGCTACCTTTTTTGTTCTTGTGCCTCATCTGCACTACTCTTTTTTTCATGGTTTTTTTTTGGGTTAGATGGCATGAATATATAAATGTGTCGCTAAACCCGCCACCACCTGACACAGACAATTTGTAAGCTTTGTCACGTAAACAGAACATGCCAATTCGTTGGCATATTCATAACACGTACAATAGCTTTTACAAAAGCGTACGTGTTATACTTTTTTTTTACAATGCTGCCTTTTTGCTCGGTGCAATGCCGTTGTTGGTGATGGTGCATTTATATTTTACAGATTTTTTTTATTGGAGATTTTGATTTAGTGTTTCTTGGGAAACGGCGTGTTTTACCACTGGCACTTTTTATGCCTACTCTTCCACTTCTTTTGAATCCTTACTTAGCTGAAAACTCTTAAAAGATACATTTGAAATTATATGATATCTTACCTTTTTAATTCATTTCTATTAGTCGTTTCTTTTTCTCTGATGCGTGATGTCTGTCAGGGAAACAGTGCGTTGTATTTATTGATGAAACCCGACTTAGAAGAGCTTCTTAGCACACAGGGTACTTCAAAATAAACTGAATTGAAACTGAAACTTCTACTATGTCGCCGATACTACTGCAATGGTAGTATGCCGGTTACAAATGCACGCTCATTTGCCAGAGGTATGCGCTGCAGATATTCCCTCCCCCCATCACGGTACACTCATAAAACTTGTTTTCAAAACCGCCAAACAATGTGCCGCATTTATTCTGCAACTCTTGTTCGGGATGCTTACATTTACAGTGGACGTATTCACAGCAAAACTGGAAAGCAATTGGGGGTCCCCCCCCCCTTCCTCCAATTTTGAAAAAGTTGACCATCAAGATTTGCTGGCATCCCCGTCACTGTAATGTCCAATGGGAATGAACCGTAAGAAGTGAAAAGAATCACAAAAACATAAAGCAGTAAAAGTTGCCCTCGAGATAAATATGACCTAAACAAATATACAGCAGGTATGCGAAATGATTAGCGGTGTCAGTCGGGAAGGAACAAAACTGGCAAGCCGTAATAATTAAATATTCAAATGACATTAAGTTTACGGGTGCCCGACACAGAGATGGCGTTTCAATAGTTGCCTTGAGCGGAGCGTGTCGGGGACCACGCTTAGATTATTTGGCTGCGATAAATTTCCACGCGATGACAAGCCACTTCGTTGAGCTATCATTTCAGATAGCCTGGTCGCGTCTGAAAAATATAACTCTATAGAGCTCTGCGAGCCTTACTTAGTAACTTAAAAAACACATTTGTTATGTATGTATGTTGCAACTTCTTTCGCACCGTACGTAACCAACCATGCTAAAAGGAGGAGTCGGGGAAGGACAAGAAACCGAACAAAAAAAGCAGTATATAATGTAGAAAACAGCAGAATGTGTACCTAGGGCAGTTATTTAAAGGTGGACCATGAGCAACGTTATGCAGTATCTGTTTCCCGACTGACACGAACACCAACGTATGATGACGATCTGCACCAACTGCTCCAGATTCTTCAGGTCATGCACCCGTAAAAAAAATCGAGTGGGCCGCATCCGCCGAAATCTTAAAACAAGACCTATTCTCAAATGGAATCTAGTCCCAGAATTGTGAGACTTCGTGCTTTACTGTTGAACAGAAAGACGACACACCACACACACGAGCAGGGAGTGGTGGTGCAGTGGTTATCACACTGTGCTGTGTTAACCACCCTCCCCGTCGTTCCAAGAGTTCAATTCCCGGTCACATGCAACCCTCAGTGGCGAGTGATATCCAAACCGGTCCTGGGCCTTGTCTTCACCCACCCGCACTGACCGATACTGTACTCTGAATTAAGTTGAAACAAACTTCAAGACATTCACAACTTGGTAAACGCCGTCATCCAGCAGTACATTGACAAAGGGCTGAATATTGGTATTATTATTATTGTGAAAATACCACACCCCGAGCAGAATCATCGATTTACAGACGTCAGCTCAACACTTGCACAACAACTAAGTCAGGCAGATGTACGGCGCAACATTAAGATCTTAATTTACATCTCCACCGTCGCACTCGCTTGCCTAGGGGCCGCAGAACAGAAACGGTGTTGCATGAAACCGCGAGCTCCCCACATTTTTTTCGTGCGCGGCGGAAATCTCACGGGC